ACCGGGGAAGACGCGTGCAATATTACCTACAGTTGTACATAAATATGTATGTAAAAATGCACTTAGTTCAACCAATGTGCCGCTACTACTTACATACATATGTATAAATTGGCACTGAGCAAAACTACTTGAGAAAACAGCATTCGTTTAATAGCACGAGTGCAACGCGTACACGTGATAGAAGTAAAACTTCTTAAAAAAAAGCTCATGTGTGCGCCTCACACCCGGTAGAAATCTTAACAAAAATAAACTACGAGACAATCAGACGAAGACAGTTGTTTATTGTATCCAAATAAGGTACCCAGTTGATAAGTTTTTATCATATCTCATATTTTATTTTTTATTTTTTCGAATACAAAGGATACGATCATTCTTTTTCGCTTTATTCCGTATTCGAAATATTATGTGTTTCAATGGACACATCGATTTGAATACATAATTTAGATTTAGATAATATTTTTAGCAATTTATTTGAGAAAAATAAAACATTTAGATTATTGTTATGAATTTTCCTCGATTTTAAATTTGCTACTCCAAAATAATTTATATCAAATAAAACACCTCTTTGAGGTAAAATTTTCGAGTGACGAAAGCTGAACTAGAAACACAAAATTTATGATATCAATTTCGTGACGAAAAATAATACGCATTTTTTAACTGCCTTTGAAACGTAGGGAAAATCTTTTTTTATTTATTCGGAACGTTGCGAAATCCCGTTTACTGCTAGAAACACAAAATAAAAAACATAACTTTTGCAACGTTCCGAATAAATAAAAAAAGATTTTCCCTACGTTTCAAAGGCAGTTAAAAAATGCATATAATTTTCGTCACGAAATTGATATCATAAATTTTGTGTTTCTAGTTCAGCTTTCGTCACTCGAAAATTTTACCTCAAAGAGGTGTTTTATTTGATATAAAAATGACAGCACTTAACCATTTCACTGAGGGCCAGTTTTTCAGTGCCAGTTTAAACTTAGATTAAGTAAACTGAGTTTAAATTGAACAGCTGGCTGACAATTGATTGGCTGATCTTAGCATTTGAAATGCAACATTTAGCACTTTCGAACATATTTTTTCGAACAGCGTGCATGCTATCGCATTTAGCAAATGTACATTTACGCGAGTTCGAAATCGCCTGCTTTTGACGAAACAGCTGTGTTGCACAGTCGCTTATTCAGATCCGTATCCATCACGATGAATTCGCACAGAGAAGATAATGTGCAAAAACCCCTACTGAAAAGGAAAAACTAAATTTGAAACAAAAAAATCAATAAAAAAAATTGAATTGTTTTAACCATAACTGCAAATTTGTGTGTGTATAAATTTATTTGACGGTGCTGTCAATTAAAATTTCCTCAATTAAATAGGAAAAAACAAACAGAGTTGATCATAAATTGAGCCAGATTTATATCAGAATCACATCGATGTTGGATTTGCGCAACTTTTCTTTATCCAAATAATATATGAAATATCGATCGGCGATCACTGAAACGCAGCTAGCAACTGTATACGCGAAAATGCAATGTTGTCACTTTTTCTCATTAAACCATGTTCGAATTAGGAATGTTCGATATCGTATCGATTATTCTGAATATCGATATTTCATGGCAGGATAATCGATTTTTTGAATCGATATCCCAAGGTCGATATATCGAAGACATCGATACTTTACCCGCAATATCGATATTTAAGCTGAAATTTATTTTTGATCTACAAAAAAGTGTATGGGAAAATACCAAAGTAGGTTTAATCAGCAGCTTGTGTGATTTATTTAGCTCTTAAGTTTGACAAACCGCTTGGGTCGACCGGCATGCCGTTTGAATCCTCAGTAAATATACAAGATGGATATAACACAATTAGGTGAGTTGACAGGCAGGTCTAATATTCTGTTCAATTGGGAGTAGGAATTTCAACATCAATTTTTCCGATTATCGATAGTTCGAATCGTGGAAATTTTTTAAGATCACAGGGTTGCTTTTGGCATTTAGACTCTTAATGCAGAAATGGAGTTGCATTTAGGTGACATATTTGGTATGAATAACAGTACATTTAGAGTAGCATTTAAAGCTAAATGCGCTAAATGTGCTTTTACACTTAAGCAAAAACAGTCTATTAGTTTAAACCAGCCAGATTGGGCGTTTAAACTCAGTTTAAACCACGGCCGTGCACTGAAAAATTGGCCCTGAGATGATTAAAAGCTAACCAACTCGAAACCACTTCGAAAGTCCGGGTTGTACTGTGTTTTCCCGCCATCTGTGAGTCATTAGCGTTAAAATGTAAAAAATTCGTTCCCTACTAGTGTTCACTAGATCATATTACATTTACTCCGGTTTTTGAAAAATTTAAAATCTACTCCTCTATTCCGCTTGACTTCAAATCTATTCCGTTTTTTTGTCATTCATGTTAAGCGCCTCTTGGTCCCGTTTCTTGAATGTTCACCACCGGTTTCAGTAAAAAAATTGAAAGTTTGCCAAATCTCACTGTTAAGGCAGCTCTCAAGAAATCGGTCAAGAAAAATTTGCCATTATTTCGCGTGTGTGTCCAAGGAATTTTGACATTTTTGATACTTCACAGCCTGTTGCCTCACTCTTTTCTGAAGAAATAATGGAAGGGCATATATTTCTGTTGCAAACCTGGGTTGCCTTGAGCTCTTTTTTACCAAAAAAAATTTAGAAAACCGTAGTAAAAAGCGTAGCAAATTTCTTAAGAACTGCGTACTGCCTGAAGGAAATTTGACTCAAGAAACTTTCTTAGCCATTTCTTGTACATCATTTTGTATGGAATTTTAGCTTTTCTTGAGAACTGCATACAGGCCTTTAAAAAATAACTCTTTCATAACAAAGTGTCAATAAAGTAACTTCGTAATTTTTTGATGTATGGTTGTAGAAATTGGCGGATGCAGAACTTTAGTTAAGCTGTTAAAAAATATATGTAGCATGAAATTTATTTAAAGTAGAAAATGTTTAGATCCTACTGCTCTTTAAAAAATTAGATGTTAGATATATTCTACTGTATAGTAAATGCTAAAAATTACCTAAGTATGTAACAATGCCCCGCGTTCTTATTTTTGCATGAATAGAAAATATTTAAGTCAAACAATTAATGTCAGAAACGAAAATAAAAAATTCAATCTAGTACGGAAAATTAGTTTTTGAACCGATTTTTACCGGCCGTCTTCACGTGCTGGAAAATTCTCGCTTGCGTGACGACGCATGCGAGAAACCGCACGTGCAGACCGCAAAAAGTACGAAGCATGCTTTTTCTCCCATAACGAGCGGTATGCCAGCTCGCTAGCAACATCGTTTATTTTGGAGGCAAATACAAATTTAGAGGCAGCCATTTGTCATTTGAAAATAGTATACATCTCTTTATGCAGATTTTCTAATTTTTTCAAACTCTTAAGACCCTGCAAGGCTTGAACCTTCTTGTTTGGCGACATTTTACAAATGAAAAAGTATGCTGTCAAATGCCCAGTCAACAAAACTCTATCTCGCTTGCGAGAGAAAAAAGCAGAACGCAGGCGAGATTTGCAAGCATGTGAAGACGGCCGGTTACAGCGATTTAGTCCTGAATCGAGTCTGGTCGTCCGAACACTGTTCTCTACATTTGTACTGTTTTATACATAAACGAAAGACACAAGATCACGTAAGAACAAGAGAGTGAAAAAAGTCGAATTTTTTAGCGGGTTCTACGCCATCTTGTTTCACTGGAAAACGAGCGAAAAGTAAACAAAGCAAAGAAAACAACGAAAACCAAAATTAGCCAAAATTATTGGCAGCCACTTTAAACGCACAATTTAGGTAAAATGATGCAACAAAATGCTTTAAAAAGTATTGTCATGTTGAATTAACTCTTCTTTACTTGAATAAAAGTGTAAAATAGTGATGCTTGTGATGTAAAAAAACGCTCAGCTGACGAACCCGCTTTCGCAAACTTTTTTCTCAAAACCAGTTACAAATACAACGTCGCGTTCTTACGTGATCTTGTATTTTTGGTTCATTTGTTTTATAAACCTCAAAAGGCAGTGTTATTATTGCAACTGCCCACCTCATGCTAGAAATTCACACAAAACGCGATATTTTAATAATTCGCGCAACACTGCGGTTGAGATTACAACTCGAACAAGCCCAGGTGGTTAACTTCGATTCGAGATGGTTACCTTTTTGGCGGGGACATGATATTGTTCCGATTATCCTCGAAGCCTTGAGGGATTTCCCAAAATATACTCGGGCTCGTATCGCTGGATTGTTAAATAAATGCTAACGATGATCAAATTGTAGTACAATTACCTTTATTGTACAACAAACAATTTACAAT